AAAGAAAGTATGAGAAAGGTAAAATGAAAGTAGTTGCCGGGAACTGTTGTATATCTAAAAAAAAGTTAAAAGAGAAGCAGAGAAGAGAGAAAAGGAAAATGAAAGTGTATATGTGTGTGTATACGTGTGTACGGTGTGCATATAGTAAAGATGGCGTGGAAGTAAAAAGCTCGAGGCTGACAGGGGAAAACCATTTTTTCAATTAGAAAATAAAAGGGAGGGAAGGAAAGTATTTTCTGTTCTGATTAAAAGCCTGAGGGATCAAAGAGTATTGGTAGTTTTTATTATTATTATTTTTTTCCCAACGACTGATGCAGTGAATCTTCAAGTTTAACCAGAATTAACCATATGGGACGATTTTTTTTGTAAATTAAATTATTTATGTAAATGTTATTTTGCAGAAATAAGTGTGCTGATATATCATAGCTGAACGTTGTTAAAAAAGGATAAAACAGTTAAAAAAATAACACCACACGTGGTAGAATAAAATTTTTGTTTACACATACTATTACCTATGTTTATTTTACGAAATTGAAACATAAAAAAGTCACTCATAATAACGCATGTTAAAACAAAAAGTTTATAGTTAATTATAAGTTGAGTAACAACCAAAAGAAAAAAATAATTTTAAACTATTTCAAATTCAATTGTTAATTAAGAAGAGCTTTTTACAGTAACATTCGATTGTTTGATTGTTTTATTAGTGAATTAGATAAATTGTTACAATAAAGTCAAGTGAAAGACAAATAAAATTAAAGAATGTAGTTAAACTCTCAATTAAACATTAAATTAATTGAGATTCAAGAAAATTGGATTCTGCCAATATTGTTTACAATTTATCGTTAAACTCTAGTATAGAATTTAAGCGAGACAATAAAGATTGCGGGTAATCTCTTGACGTCAGAGTTATTTCAACGAATTTCACAAAATGAAAAGAGAGGCCCTTGATTGGGACTTGATGTACCATTTTACAAAGTTCCATTGCAACATTTTCTCAAAATTTTACCACATGTTAAACCAAATCTCGATGTGATGCCTCTGTACTCGCAATTTATGAAATTCACCCCAAAACGTTGACAAAACGGAAAAATGGCATTTTATCGTTAAGAAAGATTTTTCTTTGTCAAGTCGATCGTTCAATCCCATGAAACCTCTATCCTTGGCAATGCAGCCACACTCGTGGTCTCCACCCCAATAGTTCAGACGAGCGTGATCAGCGGATATTACATCGAGCTTACGGGACTGTATGGATCGTCCAGCGAGTGCTCGATACCTTTTGCTTTGAGGAAAAGACGAAAAAGGATGAAAATCGCACGGATGGACTTTTGGAAAGGTGCTCTTTGCACCAGTGAGCTTTTGTATCTGGATCTGCAAGGAGAAACGGACCGTCTCGCGAGTCGTGCGGAGCTTTCGAGGAAGCGTCATGTATGCACGTACGAGTGGATTGTGAATTAAATGGCGCGTAGTTCAAACGCCCTGGTGGGGCCTTTGCTGGATGCCGCTCGTGCCGTGGCAGTTGTACAGAAGCGAGCACTGCACGATATAACGTGCCCCACAATCGAGAGTAAGGGAAAACGAGTGTTCGGTCCGAATGATCATGACGGTTATATTCAAATTCAAAAGGGCTTTGTGATTGAGTAGTAGACAGAGGGAGGAGAACTCCATAAGAATATCTCACAGCTCGTTTCACGTGTGACTTCAAAGCGCGAATTCAGCAGCCTCCCTGAAATTTGACGTTTTCTCAAAGTGCCCTATTTCACGGGAGTACGCCGCTGGCACATACGCGATGCTTCTAATGTCAGTGGTGCTACTGCAGCCGCTGCTGTTGCTATTACATTCTGAAAAGTCAGTCTCGGTACGAACGAGCGAGGAACGGCGTATATACGCATTTTGCTCGTAAAATGAGAAACAGGCGACCATGTAAGTGCATTCCTCCCTTGTATTGAGAAAGTCGGGAGACAATGAGTAGAGTCCAAACTTAGGATTACGTATACTTCGGGAAACTCGTATAATATTGGCTTAACTTTTTCAACCCAACGAGAGTCCATGAACTATCCAGCGAGTCCCAGCCTATTGATTTATTTATCAAAGAATAAATCGCCGGCAAAAGGAGGATCCTCGAAGCTCAAGAGCTTTCGTGTGCGGACACATGTCCATGCATGCCCCGCGCGTGCAAGTACAGCCACACTCTATGAACTTCTCGCTAAATTGAATCACGAGCCCAGGGGGTGGGACGAGGGGGATGGGGCGCATGACGTGAGCGAGTGGGCGTCAGAGGCCGATAATCGCGTTAAACTGTTTACTGGGCATCGGTGCCAAGAGTGGGTGGCGCGGGAGCGGGAACCAAGCGTTTTGCTGCTGCGAAAACGCAGGCTCGCGGCCCTGGACTCTCTCTAGGGCGCGTTACACGTACGATGCAAGATCGGGGGAGGGAAGTTGAGTAAAGCTGAATCAAGCGTGAGTATACTCGTCCAGCCACACGAGCCTCCTTACCCGGCTGGGACCCACACCCTGTCCGCGAACTTTGTCCATTAATCTTGGAGCCCCGGCTGGCTGCGGAGGAGAGACTCTGCGCACCAGTAGCTGCGACGGTCAACGAGGGGTTATAGTGGTGGTGGTGGAGAGCTTGACCGATGAGCCCTAGAGCAAACTGTCCCAGGCCCAGGGGGTGTTAGAGATATGCACTTGCTAAGATATATTTAGACGGAGGCTCGGGAGCGGATCGACAACTTTCTCTGTTTTTCATGGAAGAGGTTGATCCTCCCCTCTGCTTGTATTATCTCGAAGGGCGTAAGTTTTGTTGCACCGATCAATGGAAGAATAATCTTTACATGTATGCAAAAGTGATTTTTTTTACTGTATACGTACCATTTTCTAGTTTTTTTTTAAGCAGTCCGAGCAGAATAAGTAACGAAATATACGATCCATTTTTTAGTGTATTAAATTCGATGACTGGCAGAATCCAGTGCACGTGACCTATACCGTTTAAGTGCACGTGTCCTCGCAAGCTATTATTATAACAAACTCATGCCGTTCTTATATCTTTCTTAGTTCATTTTTTTTTTCTTTCTTTCCTTTTTTTTTGCTTGTGAGAGGAATTTTTTTTTCACATAGGTATACCCTCATAGCTATAAGACACGTTGAGGCATCAGTTTCTACCTTCCTTTTTAATGCTTGGAATTTCGTTTCCTCGTTTCACGTATTCTTCTTCTTTTTATTGTTTTAACCAAGTTTCTTCTTCTCCCCCTTGCTTTTTGTACACAAGTTTATGTACACGAGTGCATTCGGTAATCGCACAAAGTATTTTATCAACGCAACACTACCTGTAATACTATATAATTAGTTATATACACTCGGGTGGAGGCCGTCCAAGTGGACACAATAACCCCCGTATAGACACTACCATATATTATGATTAAAGATGACAAGGGTTGAAGATTTTTGATGAAAAAATAATTTTTCATGAAATTTATACGTCCAAATTCATTTGACACCGCTATCGGATATACACTTCGGTTGAGGTGCTCGTTTCGTCAGCGCACACGCATACACGACTGACTGTTCAATCGATTTTATGTTCTACGTGTAGATGGGTGTTTTGCCGATCCGATGGATAATATTAATTGGAACTGCCCGATGCAGTGCCGAATTTATCGTTTTCCCGACCGCAAATAGATCAACAGGCAACAAAGTAATAACTCACGCTTTAGCTTTTAAATAACAAACTAAATAATTTAAACTTACATGCATATAAATGTACAAGGGAATGAAAAAATCTTGCTTCGTAAATATTCGGTCGACACTTTCGTTTCCTTTTCTGCAGATAAAAAAAAAAATGTCGAGCAAACAGCCTGATATTCTCAGGGTATATAGCTCAAAACACTTTTAATGACAGAATGGTAATTAATCGGTCTCGCACGCCCCATCCACCCTGTACGCGCGGGCACACACAAACGGATCACCTCTCGTACACCGATAAGCGCGATAAAATCTCGGTCCGAGTACACCTGGGTATAGGTGTTCAACGCCAACCTGTTTCGTAACTTGGGCGAAAGGCTAGATTATTGCGTATACGCGTACGCATGCGCCCCTCGCACATGGCCTCTTTCTCCGACGTCCTCGGCGTCGATATGTATTATGCACCCCCTGAACGTGTATATATATATATATATATATGTGTGTACACACATACGTATCCCTGAGCGCACTAAACTGCAATTCGTTTGTTTCACAGATAAACCCGTTCGGGCGTGGCCGGCTTAATTGAAAGCTGCGGCCGGCGGCGAGTGCCCGAAGCGCGCGAGCATAAAGACCCCGAGCAAGAGGACGAGGATAATGAAAAATCAAGACGCAAAATAATAAAAATGTCGGTGGATGAGGAAAAGAGACGCGATGGTGGAGGGAACCACGGGATACGGACAGTTGTAATTTAACGAGTTATAAGGGAGGAATTATGGATAGTCGAAGATGTAGCCTAGAGGAGCGGTAGTTGTCGGCTCCTGGTGGAAAAGAAATGTCATGACCAGCAGCGATAGCTGGGGATGCCAGAGCAAAAAAAACTAAGGCAGACCAGCAGATGATCCGTGATTATTTATCTGATGCTTACGTGTGCCCGAAACACCGAGCCTGAGATTTATAAGTAATCCAGAAGGAGAGTATCCAATCGAGCCTAATTTTTTAGATACTTTTACAACGTGATGATGTATTAATAGTAACCGAGTGTCCTTTCCCCGAAACGTATAGGTTGAGGTGTACGAACGTGTAGCAACAATTAGTAGTAAACAGAGAAAACCGTATCGCGTGGAAATCGAGACAATGAGATTGGGGCTCGTTGGCGTACTATTGCATTAACCGCGGCCGATGCGTGTCAGTGTCACTAGAACGGGGGCACTTGTCAGCAAGACCGTGGTTGCCGCGTTCGGGTCCCGCAACTCGTCACGGTGTGTGGCCTGGGGCGCATACTCGGCTACATCGGCGGCAGGCCGGTGGCCGGCCCAGCCATGTCCCAACTATCGGATCCCAGCCATAACGCGATACAGGACGAGCCCAAGAGCAGCCAGCGTCAGAACGGCCGCGCCTCGGCCGACCTGATGAAGGACCTGGCCATGGCCGATCTCTCGAACGGCTTCGAAGCCCGAGGCGCCCCGAAAACTCGGCCGCGCAGCGAGACCCAAGAGATCCAAAAGGCCAGCGCCAAGAGCCAGCTGCTCCAGGACGGCCAGCAACAGCTCAAACCGCAGCCGAAACACGCGGAGGACTCGCAGAGGAGCGCCTCCGTTCCCGTGGTCCTAGCCCACCAAGCCTATCACGACAACCTCGTGATCGACAGGGTGCAGTTCGTGTCCCAGGGCCCACCGATCCAGCCGATCCCTGTGCACGCGTCCGCGGCCCCCTACGCCCCTCCAGAGTACGTCATAGCCGCTCCGGACTCGCTTCAGTACTCGCAGCTCCACGGCGCCCTCTACAATCCGGCTGCCGCGTACGTGTCCAGGGACTCGGGCTTCCGGGAGTCGAGCCTGTACGGGCCGAACGTCGCGATAGCCTCGGTGGCACCGGGGGCTCCCGCCTTCATCCAACAACAGCCCGGGCAGGGCCAGCCCGGCCAAGCGGCTTTCTTCGCCAACAAGGCCCTGGGGCTACCCACGTCCGTGGCTGCTGGATACGTCCACTTTGGGCCGCAAATTCACTACAGCCAGTACCCCCAGACGGTGGTCAATGCGGCGCCCTACCCCGGCCCCACTGCCGGTCAGAAGAGCATGTACCCACCGCAGCAGTACCCCGTACCTCCCTCGCAACAACAAGTGTCGCAAACGTCGTCCGCCCAGCACTCGCCGAACCCGCAGAGGTACTCGCAAGAGATGTCCCAGTACCCCCAGGCGCAGCCGATCGGCGCCGAAAGGGTGAGTTCGCGGGGACCCAAGCCGATGGTGCCACCACGGGTCAATTCCAAGATAACCCACGAGGCTGGTCACCGCAAGTCGGCGAGCGTCGACACGGGCCACAACGGCAAGACGAAGGAGGAGACCAGTGCCGCCGATGGTCAACTGGAGCAGTCGCAGAGCGCCAATCAAAACTCCTCGCGCACGAGGCAGGACGGTCTGTATGGGAACGCGAACGGGGACGGAACGTCGAGGGAGCAACAGGGTAACGACGTAGAGGGCGTGGAGCGCAATATTTACGTGTCGAGGAACGAGCATAGGAAGTCGATTTCGGTGGATGTGACGAGTGGCCATCAGCGGCGCAACGATACGATAACCTTCACGTTCCCCAGCGACGCCAGCACCCAGCAAGACTCGATGCTGCCGGTCACGCGCCAACCTGTCGTAACCAGTTCTAACGTACCGGATCACCAGCCAATTGACGGTATTGGTGGTGCAAATTTGTCCTTCATCGAGCAAAAGAGGCTAGACATGAGCGCGGGGTTGCGTATGTCACCGATGCCGGTGCTTCCCGCTGCCGTGGCCATCGTGCCCAAGGGTATTCTCGTGAACGCGGGGGAGAGAAAATCCGTCGAGTGGAGCACCCTGAGTCCCAATCAGCGGGTCGTCTTACCCCAGGAGAACAGGCGGTCGGACTACTTCGAGGAACACCGGAGATCGCCAATGACGGTAGAGACGGGCAAGCGGTTCGAGGAGGTGCGGAGGTCCCCAATGGCTTTCGTCCCCATAAGGGACACCGGCGTGGTAGCTGAGCGCGCCAACCAGAAGAGCCCGAATAGCAGCGTGGCGGGGGCGACCCAGAACTTCGAGAAAACCCGCGCGGAGCTGGCCATGTGGGCGGAGCAACGCCAGCGTCAAGAGATCGAAACACGGATGATCACGCAACCCTCGAACCGCGACATGTACGTGACGACGAGTCCGCGCTCGCGCAACCAGTCGGAGGAAAGACGGCTGGAGCCCAGTCGGAACTTTGTGCCATCCCAGATCGACAAGACCGATCCCAGATTGCAGATGACACCCTCGGCTTTTCAACCAATCGCCAGCATCACCCCGACCACGATAATGGAGCAGCGCCGCCACCTGCGTCACGTGAGCGCCGATCTGACCAAGCACCTCGAATTGCCGCGCAAAGAATTCGACGATCATCTACTGGGTGGTTCGGTCAGCAATCTGGGCGTTACTCCATCTGCACCGGTCATGATGGCCCAGCGGACGGATCCCAGTGTGCCGGGATTCCAGTACGAGCCCAAGCCACCCGAGACCAAGGTTCCGCTGACCATCGTCACGGATTTCAGCAATGAGATCCCATCCAAGCCGCTCGAGCAGGTCGACCACATCATTCACAGCAGCCACCGCAGGAACAACACTGTGGCACCGACAGTCTCCAGGAGCCACCAGGACGGTGGCTCGCAAGGCCAGTCGGTGGATCTGGCGTGCAACGTCAAGAGCAACGATGGCCATCACCTGGCCGCGCACTCGCAAATGTTCCAGCAGAACCAGCAGAGCATCGACTTTATCTCTGAAAAGCTGAGCCAGTGCGAGAAACAGCAGAGCGACCTGCAGGCGAAGCTGCAGAGCCTGCAGAGCCAGAACGAGATCCTTGACAAGGTGGCGCAGTACCAGTACCAGCAGAACGACCTACAGACCCGTCTGCACAACCTTCACCTCCAGAACCAACTGGCCGATCGTCTCAGTCAGAGGCAATCCTCCGAGTTCTCGCAGAGCAGCAGTAGCACGGGTATGAGCCACGACGAGCAAGACCAGACCAACAAGTCAATCCTCAACCAGTGCATCAACGCCTCGCGCCAACTCTACTCCCACCAGTCGCTTCTGAACGCCGTTGGCTCCCAGCAGCTCCAAGCAGCGGCTTACATGGGCCCGGCCTCGTCCGAGCGGGTTGTCTCGCCGCGACTCCAGTTCCAGCAGATGCAGGACGAGTCGGACCTTGCCGAGGCTATCCAAATTCCGAATATCTCGCAGATGCCCCTGCCCAGCCTCTCCCAGTTCGACCGAGCTGACGTGCTCGCTCGCGCTTCCTACGCCCAGCTGCAGCGCATGCACCAGCAGCAACAGGCAAACGACAACATCATCGATCAGGGCATCCTGACGACGAGCTCCCAAGTGAGCTTGACGTCGGTGGGAAACGCCACAAACTTCACCGGCGCCCTGAAGAAGGTACCGCCGGAAAAGCCGCCGAGAACCTCGCTCATTGCCCAGTCGCCCGATACGGAGGTAATGGGGAGAACTCCGCAGCCGGGTCGATGTCGAGTTGGGTTTAGTTGTGGTGGATGTTAACTTTCCAACTGTCGATTTGGTTCTCGGGTCAAACATGTGGTAAATGGTAATGTTTAAAAACGGGGTTGTGTCGATCACATCCTATGTGGGAGTCAAGTGCCTTACTCCCACTGTGGCGTACACTGCTTGTCGATCATGACGTATAACCCGGGAACCAACTCGAGATCTTCGTCCTACTTGAACTACTCGATGTCACGATCGTATATTGCATACTAGATGGATTACGCATGACAAAGTGTTATGTTGCAAGTTTGGTGTTTATTTTTTTACTTTCCCCTTGTTCCGTTGTTTCAGAAGTATGTAGGAGTTTTCGAGCTCGTACCTTATTTTCATCGTAGTGTTGTTAATGCATGCGGACGAACAACAAATTTATTTTTGATTTCTGACACAGCGTTGTACAAATGTTTGTTAGGTCATATCATTTTTAAAACTTACTTTGAACTATTGTGAAGTTGTTACTTGTACATGTTTTTGTGATTATTTGTTTAGTTCTGTAAATATATCCACACTATTGAGCTCATAACTGTTGTATTGTTATAGAGCAACCGGAGCCAACCAGCCATCGGATTGAAGCACACATCCAAGGCAAGGGTGAGTACCATTTTATTCCATAAATGTGCACATTGTACGTGTAAAAACAAACAAATGAATGAAAAATGTATATCTTGCAACGTCAAACGAACAGCACGTTACGTGTATCGATCTCCCCTAGATAACTTTCTAGAGCAAAAAAAAGGCACCGGCAGGCACACGTACAAAGCCAAAGCTCAAGCACAATCTGGAATTTCCAACCATGCACAGCCCTTGCGACGTATCCCGTCCTCTGCAGTACTCCTCGTTTGAGATTCAGCGTCGTCGCTTTCTCAACAGGATTTTCTGACCGGAAAACTCGTTAAGTCCCTCCACCACCCCCTTTCGGTCCAACCCTTTCCTCGGGAAAGGCAAATCCACCGCAATAGTTTCCTGGGCCTCGCTCCACGAGGACAAAGACGCCGAGCGATGGAGACACAGGGGGAAGGGTAAAGAGCTCCTTCTCGCCTTGGTCGTCTCCTCCCCTTAACATTCCACCGGCACCTTCGGGGCTGCATGTATACACCACGTGAACCGCGCATCGTCCGAACGACTGGGGCGTAAAACACTTCTGGTTCACGTGCGACGCCTCTCCGAGTACGCCATCACGTCGTCCGGCGAAAATTTTCCGCAGTATACCCTGCCATTTGGGCGCCCTCGCTCCACACCTCAGCTCGCGCCGCTGACTTTTTCTCCCTTTTTTTTCTTTCTTTTTCTCTCTGCAAAAGAGAAGCGCGACGAGAGCGACTACTGCTGGCATGTTTTTTTTTTTTTTTTTTTTTTCTGAAACGTGCGCGTGCATGCTGAGCTTTCTTTTTTCCACGTGTCGACGTTGTGAAAGAAACAAAAAAAAAAAAAAAAAATCATACTTTGACCGTGTGAAACTCGCACATGGGCCCTTTTTTCCCTCCGTTCTATCCACGTTGCCTCTGTGCTTTGGCTTTGCTGAGCTTTGGAACACGGCGCGCATACTGCGATTGAAATTAGGGTTTTGAAGAAGAGAAATGCCATTTTCAATTCAATGTGCTCTTGGTAGTGCAGTTGGATCTGTGTGCATTATTATCGAGTGATAAACCGATGGATGATGGAATTTTGTCCCTTACAATATACAGCTGAAAAGTAATTCTTAGCAAAACCTGCAGAGTTACAAATTGCTGGCAATGATCGTGTGTAGCTTTCATTCGACATGGAATGATGTCATTGCAAAGAAGCGAACATAACACCCATTGAGGGGTTCCCCGTTGTTATTTCAGCTTCGGTCCAGCCATTACGCGGTAATATTACGTTTCACACGTATAACGACGGACTAAATTATACGACCAGGTGTACGTGTGAAGCAGGCGTGCTTATTTTTCCATCTCGTAATTGGAAAACCGACTGCGGCCTCCCTCAAAACCCGTAGTGGTGTATCGCGCTTATTAAAGCGACATTACGGGTGCAAGTTTGGCTCGGTTATTGTAATGCGTCCCTTGCCGCCGAGTGTGAAATTCGCGCACTACGACCACCCGTTCCGTAGCCATGGGAACGTTTGACAGTATAGTCGTAGCAACAATAGAGATAATAACAATGTATGTTTTGCCCCTCCTCCCCCTATGTCTCTCTCTCTCTCTCTCTCTCTCTCTCTCTGCGCTGGGCTTGCATAAAAGTTAAGGGTACACATGCGCCTGCGTATAAACGCGTATTTTACAATTATTGCCCTTTGCGATTGCCGCGGAGATGGCGAGCATCGATAGCAGCGCGTATACGCTCGCTTTGGGGCTTTAAAGAATTTATAGAAGGAGATCGGAGTTTCAATGGGGCTCTCCGAGCTTATCAGATCAAAGGTATCGGCCAAATGGGATCCTTTAATCTATTTGGGTGTGCCGGTATACCGGAGATCATTGAAAGAGACAATTATACATTTTCTAGCCTATAAACTTATTTATTTTTAGTCAGGGTTTTTGTGTTGGAGCAAAAGTATGTACTTACTTACTACTTTGTTCTTTAGCCTTCAAAAAGATGCTGGAGGAGTAAAGAAGAAAATGAATGGAGATTGGTGCAGAACTTGGTCAAAAAAGCATTTATAGAATTCTTTCCATTTCTTCCAATCAAAAACATCAGCTTAGTTTGGCATGGTTTTTCAGTAATTATTAAAAAAAAAGGTATCACCAATAGTGAGAAAAAAAATAAAGCCAATGGACTTGGTTATCGGCGTAATTTCATAATCTAACCAAGGATTGACTTTGAAAGTGAAAATTAAAACCCGCAATTTCTTTTTTGTTAGGAAAAAGTTTTCTTTGATGAAGAAGCGAACCTTCGAGCTTTTAATCCACGAAAAATAACTTGTGCATTTTTTCTTCGATAAAACGGATGAGCATAGAATCGTTATGGTAACCATCACAAAGGGGTTTTCGAATAAATGGAAAAAAGAGCGAGTCGATATCTCAGAGGTTCTCATTAACTTCTTGAAATTTCGCTGAAGAGGAAAAGTGGAGCGAAAGAAAAAAAAAAAAAAAAAAAACTCTGACAGCGACCGAGAGATAAAAATCCCTAATCAACGCTGCTCGCGCTCAAGCGCCCGCCCATTGCGGAAAATCCCCAACGTAAACGGCTTCCATCCACACACCGCTCCTCCTCTCCACTGATGTCAAATAATCCTCGAAGATCAATTTATCCCCCGGCAATGTAGTAGCTCGCACAGTTTCTTTTTCTCTTCTCTTTTCTTGCCAACGACGAGACGTGCACGGGCCAAAAAAATTGAGATAACACGCCCGGAGTGTACGCGTAGACGTGTTAAATTAATCATCGAAACGTGATTTCGATCGAATTCAGAAAAGCTTTCCCCTTTCTTCGGAGCCCCACTGTGGCAATTCACTGTAAATTGCTTATCGATTTTCGCGAAGCTGTGGCAAAGGAAGAAAATTAGGGGCTTGCGACCTACAAGCAAAATGTCTTTTTTCAACATTTTTTCTTTCTTTTTTCTTGTTTTTTCAATGACGTACAAATCAACACGGTGGCTTTTTTTCTCTTGCAAGCTCTTTAAAATTTCCTGGTGAATAAATATCACACGAGAATGAAAATAAAAACAAAAATATTTTCAATCCAGAAACATAAATGAAAAAAAAAACTATTCTTTTGTGTGGCACACATTTCACAGAAACATTATACAGAGTACAGCCGCGTGTTTGGCACTTGAAAAAAAACAACAGGCAAAAAAAAGTTTGTGCCTTTGACAACTACTTTGGATTTCTCTCAGAAAAGCTCAGTGACCGCAAAACTAGTTTCGTTAATATATAGTACACGCGAAAACAACACTCGAAAGTCCTCGAACAAATCGATAAAACAACTCGTCGTTGGCGAAAACATCTGCCGATTCGTTACGTCAATTAATGATATCCCTTCTCGCCTCCTTGGCTTTGATCGAGCTCCGGCGATCCCCAAAACTTACAACCAGAGGTAATACCACATCCATCTATAGTACGGAGCTACTATTTTTAAAATTATTCTGAATGATGGTAATTCGTATAGAACCGTGTACCCTTGTGGCTGTACATCATATACAAAATTGTATTAATATACGGAAAAACAGAGCCCAGAGATGCTGTTACAGTAGTCTGATCCCCCGGCGGCGGTCGCAAATACCTAATAGCTTGTATAATGGCATTTACAAACGAGGGTAACCACACACATACTATATACGTATATACATAATAAATAGGCACACGACGTTATACCCGTATTTGCCGGGGAAGAGCCGTGGGCGCGCCACAGTGGCCTCGTTTTCCACAGAGCTAGAAATCAGCGCTCACTCGTCCGCCTGTCGGGAATATACGACACACGCAACAACCTGCCGGGTGGAGAGAGGAAAGAGGCGGCCCAGGGGGGCAGAGGTCCCATATACACACCCACTTACGCGAAATGAGAAGGAGACAGAATACTCGGTTTTACGTATCGGGGATGCGAGTCCTCTCACAAAGTTGGGTCCATTATTTCGTGATGGCGCGTGCGTTAATCTCCTCCCCTTCGCCGACTACAATGGATAATTAAATGCAGATGAGAGTGGTAGACGGGGATTAATTTTTTTTTTTTTTTTCCTCCACTCCCGTTCCTCGGGCACTTTTTCCCCGAGTAATGCCGTCGAGAGCGGATACGCGTGTACCGACCGACATCTAATGCGCTCGTCTACGTGTAATTCTTTTGTTTGAGTTCGTTTTTTTTTTTCCCCCTCCCGCAGACTCCGTGGACGCGCCCGGGAGTTTGTATATTTTTCTGCGGCGAGTGTACTCCGTCTTTCGAGGGGTGAGTCTTCCCTCGGCTCGCCCATTATTCTCCTCGACGTGATACCCGCGTTGCTCGTACAATAATGCGTCGTGCGGGCACACCTGAAACTCGGTGTGAGCCGAGGTTTTTCCTCTTTCGGCGCCGGTGATGTTTCGTGTACAAGAGGAAAAGAGAGGAGGAGCCGATGTGCACATTGTATAATGTACCCATGGGACTGTGACCTCGATGGGAGGAAAATTTGTGCGGTTGGAGGGTGGGTAGGTGCACAGGGTATAGCTTTGCGTGGATTTTGGTTTTGCCTCCCCCGCAACCACCTTTTTCCTCTTCCACGGTGAACTTGGCAGTGTATATATATGTAGTTGTTGGAGGAAAATTTCTCCTGTGCACCGATGAGTTCGCGGTGCCCAGTAGGGTTTTTATTTTATTTTTTTTTAATTGTGGGTCGGCAACTTACGTGTTTTTATTTTGCTATTTTCAATTACTTATCACCGTAAGTGGCAGACGGAAGATTTTGTCCGTTCTCCCATGGTCGTCAGCGGGACATGGCGCACTTGTGGGGTGTTTAAACTTTAGTTGCTATTTTGAGGAGAACAAACGTCGCGGGGCGTACAAAAAACGTCCAGGCGCATACGTCTCGCTTCACAGTAACGTAAAATGGGTTTACAGAGCGTCATAAAGTGGGACAATCTTTTCTGGAACATGTTTTACGATCCGGAATATTGCCTCCGTATAATCTGAGCAGTAAAAAATGGAGGGTTACTGCAG